TAATTAAAAAATTAACGATTAAATTAATATAAAACATAATTTATTACCCTCGCTTGCTCATTAATAATACATACAAAGTTCGTAGCAACTTTACTGAAACATCAGAGTGGATAGAATACAACTGAACAACAAAATGATAAAGTAGAAACAATCATCGTTTTTAGGATACACATAGTCATCTTTAGGATACAGTTTGTATTATACTTTAATTTATTTAATTAATTTAATTAATTTATTTAATTTATTTTAATTTATTTAATTTAATTTATATTTTATTGTTAATATTTTATGTATAAGGACGTCGCTACAGCATTGATATAATCTCATTACGTCTATTTATTGCTCGTGTAATGAAGTTGATGACACTGTGAGAGATACTTTATCTATCTACCTATATATATGTAACTGCTAAACATTCGGGAATATATTAAAACTATCTATCTATAGATATCTTTTTCAGACGGATACACATAGAAGATATATCATGAGTTGTCCATATTTTCGTGTGGGAAATGATGTTTGCTGGTGGCAAAAAATTTTAAATTTTAATAATACCAACGAAACAACTGACATTGTAATAACGTTTATGAAATCTACAATAAAGAACTTGGAGGCATTCTGTAAGGCCTTGAGATCAATAGTATCTGGCATTTAGATTAGAAGCTTTGCTTGTAATAGGCAATATCTATATAAATATGTATGTGTGTGTGAGTGTGTGTGGGAGTGTAAGTGTGTGTGTGAGTGTGTGTGTGAGTGTGTGTGTTGTGTGAAAAAGCATCGGAGTCGATCTGGGGTTTTTTTTGCCGGGGTCGGAATTTTTTTTCTACTGCGGATAGAGTTGACAATTTGAAAATTTTTCCATTTTTTTTTCTAAAAATATTTTTCAGAATAGTGTTTTTTTATAATATATATTTTTTAATCACTCTAAATACTGAAAATATATGCTACTTTTTGTTTTAAAACAAATAAAGTAATTTTACAAAGAAAAACAAATTGACTTATTTTAGATAATTTTAAAGCATCTTTCATTTATCTGTGGCATTTAAATAAAATTATGATTCAAAGTTGGAAAAAAAATTTTCTGGGAGTTGGAAGGAACTTGGAGTCACAGGATTATATCCGTAGTCGAAGTCTTAAAATTTTTCATTGGAGGAGTCGCATTTGTATTCATTTAGGATATGTTTACTTCTAGTATGCTAACATATTTCACGATAATTAGCTCGTTAATGTATTATTAAACATCTATAATATATAATATAACTCATTAAAAATATTATTCACTAAAAATATTATTTGCGTGCTTGCCTTTTTAAATATTAAAAAATAAAAAAAAAACAAACTGAAATTTAAAAATAGTATTTTAGATTTAAATCGCAGTTTGGACCATGATTAAAAATGCAATGAGTGATACGTCAGTGATAGTGATGATGAAACACGACTATGACGATGAGGATGGTAATGGAAGATGATGATGACGACGATGATGATGAAAGATGATGATGAAAGATGATGATGATGACGATGATGAAATCATGATGATGGTTCTTTTGGGGGTTTGGACCAGGTGAGTGTATACGCCAGAGGGTCCATCGTGAAGTAGGAACCTGGCAGGTTGATGCCTGTGTGAATGTGATTGGTTGGTCGGTGTAAATAGTCAAATGTGATTGGTCGGCTGGTGTGAATAAATCAAATGCGATTGGCTGGGTGGTGTAAATTATTAAATGCGATTGGTCGGCTAGTGAGTGAGTGAATGAGTGAGTGAGTGAGTGAAAAAAAAAACCTGTGTAATCATCATATTCAAGACCGTCTTCATTGGATGATGATATGAGGGCATCGAAGGTCAAACTTTTCTTACTGGGAGTTGATGAACAGGAACCGGAAAAAGATGGCGTCCGGAAGTGGTTAGGACGATTCACGTCGCAATCAAATCTTTTTAATTTATTGCTCGGTGTGGATTTAAATGACGGAGAGTTGTTGTATATTGTTAGGTTGTTGTTGTTTTGGGTGTTTATGTTTTTAATGTTGTTTTTGTTTTTGTGCTGGTTTGTTGTTACGAACGGTGTTGTGTTTGTTGTGTTGATGTTAGCCTGGTTTGTTGATGACTTTTCTTCGTTGCTGGTGTCTTTGTTGATGTCATTTTGAGGATTTCTGCAGTTGTTTGATGCACTTACGTTCAGACTGTCGTTGCTTATGTTGATGTCACTGAACTTGCTGATGCTGTTTTTAATTGTTGGGTTGTTGTTGTTTTTGATGTTGTTGCTTGCTGGCGAGTTGTTGATGGTATGTTGTTGTTGTTGTTTGGTTGATGTTGATGGTGTTGGCTGTTTTGTCCTGTTAATAGAATACTGCGAGAGAATATCGCATTTGTTCAAAATAGGTTGGTTCATTAACTTGCTTGACGTCGTTGTTGAAGTTGCTGGCTTAGTTGCTATTGTTGTTGCTGTAATTGTAGTAGTTGTTGCTGTTGTTGATGTCACTTCATTAGTTGATGTAAGAGTTG